TTCAATTTAAAAATACAAAAAGGAGTTTCCAAAGCTTCTTGTTAAAATTAAAAACTGCATACTTTAAACTATCAAAAATCATAAAAAAAATGTACTTAATCAGTCTATTTTTGTTGTAATTGGTCTTCGAAAGCGGATAGGCTAAAAATCATTGAAACACGATTAAAGCATTAAAAAATATTTTATCTACTTTTTATTGTTATGGTGATTAAACTTAAAAAACGTAATTTTAAATTAAATTTAGTTGAAATTACTGTAAAATAACTTTAGAATGTGGAATTTTATAATAATTTAGGTTTCACCACTAAGATTTAAAATGTGAGCGAGGAATCCAAATAATTTTTGTTGACGTCACTAATTGGACCACTCTGTATATTAGTAATAATATTTTTAATAATCTTTATTTATAAATAAAAAAATAATTAAAGAACAAGCGTGCTTAGGTGACTGAAGAGTAATGTTTTAGGTTAATTTCTCTGTCCGATAGTAAAGTTTTACTATAGTTAAATCAAAAAAAGAAAAAAAATACCATTTGAGAAAATTTGACACACTTACTATGTATTTGACGTGGCATTACCTAACTATAGTCAAATTTAAGTATCGTTGAAAGAAAGCGGCCTTAAACTTTATCAGAAACAGATAAAATTGTACTTTTATACATTACAATACGGAGTTTTCTGAATTGTTCCAGATAAGATTCTAAGAATATAGAATACATTTTATTTGAAACAGAATAAATAAGAATTTAATCTAAAATAACATATTACTGCCACTTAAGCACGTTTGTTCTTTCATCATCATCATCAGCCTATTAATGTCCCCACAGCTGGGGCACAGGCCTTCCCTATGTATGGAATAGGGAGATTGGGCCATGACCCACCACGCGGACCCAGTGTGGGTTGGTGGGTGCTAACGACTGCAGATGCAGCCGGGACCAACGGCTTAACGTGCCTTCCGAAACACGGAGGAGCTCGAGATAGTAAATTTTCGGTCACCCATCCAATGACCGACCACTGTGAAAGTTGCTTAAATTCAACGATCGCAGCTGAACGCGCTAACCACTTGCGCCATCAAGCTCCTCTTGTTCTTGTTCCTAACTTATTATCTTTATATATATAATTCTTCTGTGAGTGTGTAATGTCACTGAACTTCTCTTAAACGACTGGACCGATTTTGATGAAATTTTTTGTGTGTGTTCAAGGGGATCTGAGAATGGTTTAGATTCACAATTTTGTCCGCTGGACAACCCCTATTTTTTTAGGGCGGTACGAAGTTCGCTGGGTCAGCTAGTGTTTTATAATTTTTGAGGACTCTCACGTACTTTTGTAGGATGGTTTGGATGTGGTAGGATGGGGGACTTTTTGTCCTCGGTGTTTTTAAATTCTCGAGTGCGTGGCTCGATGCAGATGTGAGCGATCTATTTCGGCGGACAAAATATACCGCGGGCAAAAGTCCCTCGTATATAAATAAATTGCTTCAAACGGTTAAACTACCCCTACAAAGCCCGTAGGAAACAATTCAGACTGACAAGATAAAGGCAATTATCTTGGTCGCACGTTGGCCTGAAATTATATTGTCTTCAAAATGCAAATATGACTTCATTTACGTCACATACACACAGGGTTGGCAGACCGTCAAGGGTGCGACATATGAGGATAGATATACAAAGATGGAGACAAGCGATGGTGAAATTATTTTTCAGGTTTTCAGTATAAAAATATTAAATCATGATATATCTTCCTCAATACTTGGAAATCAAAAATGAAAGGGAGCAGATCCTATTTTTATAAGGAGAGAAGAATTTATTATAGTTCTTAAAAAAATATTTATACAAAGCTTTTTATAAAAAATATTTTTGACTTTATCACCACTTAACATCAGATGGAGTAGAATCATTTGCCTACCTGAATATATAAAAAAATAGATGGACTTTAAGACTTTTCCTTGTATTTTTTTTATTGGCTTAAGTCCTGAATATTGTTGGTGGATGAATTCATGTGGTTAAACGGCCTTTTCGATGGTATTATTTATTTATTTTTGGAACGAAGTTCCTTACGGCAAGCTTGGAGGGGATAGGGATTTTGCTGCGCGACCGAACTGAAAAAAATGTGATAGTAAAACCGTAAGAAAAAATCCGTGGAAAAAAGTGCGTGGAATAAAACCGTTAAATGAGACGTGCGCAGGCGCGACAGTCGCATACACAAGCGAGTTTGCAATTTGTGTCGATTCTACATTAGCCGAAGGAATTTCGTTCCTACCTGGTGTCCCACGACACCACATTAATATTTTTATTTATTTATTTAGGCATGCTAACAGTCACACATATTAATACATTAATCAATATGTCGGATACTATACAGTTTTCTTATATGTAGACCAATTACAAGCATACACAACAATCACCATAATGTTAATAAATAACTGATTGACCTGATCATGGTATTCAGTGTTGCCAGGTCTCCAGATTTTACAGGAGATTTCCTGTTTTTCTGCATTTTCTCCTATTCTACTGTTTTTCTACATGAATCTCCTGTTTTTCTTAGAATACGATTTTCTTTTTTAAATTGCATGTTGAGTTGCATTTTCGGCCATTAATAATGTTGGTAAACTTATTAATTTCAAAATAAATGTTTTTGTCTAAAAAAACTAGCTTTAAGGGGCGGTAGAAGCCACAGAAACGTATTCGTTACTGGTCTTTATATTGATTTGATTTACCAATTCTGGAGGGGGGGGGGGGGAGGGTGCAAATCGAAAAAGGTACGCCTTTGCATCTACTGTTTTTCTTGTAGGTCTTTCCATACATCTACTGTTTTTTTTTCTATAACACCTCCCGATTTTTAAAAATCTGACCTGGCAACACTGATGGTATTGTACTTAGTACAAAGTTGCTAAGCTTCCATTGAGCAGGGGATTGGTTTCAGGGCTGCAATGTGAGCAGGACTGAAGGCCACCGTCTGATATCACCGACGACCTCCGTTGCTGAGTGGTTTGTATGCTGGGTTTCAAGGTGTCGCCTACTCGAGAGGTCCCGTGTTCGAATCCCAGTGGGGGCTTATGTTTGTGTGATGAATACGAGCATTTTTACTTCAGTCATGGTTTTTTAATGTTTGGTTTTTCTATAAAAATATACTTATATACGTACTGTGTATGTATTCTATCCGTTACCCTAGCATCCCATAACACAAGCCTACAGTGCTTACTTTGGGGCTAGGCTAAGTGCAACTAAAGAAGAAATTATACTGTTCAACCCTTAAACTGCATCAGTTTAAAATGGTATAATAAAATAAACACAATTCCAATGTAGCAGACTTAACAATGCTATCATTGAGTTTTAAGCGTGGAAGTTCATTTAATCATCCAGCATCTCGCCAAAAGACTGCGCAATGCAAGAGCGCGAAGCGCGACGCGCAGACAGGGTGTAGTGTTTAACAGTCTATATATGTATGTTTATTCCTTTGTGGCACACTAGAGACCAAACGCCTGGACCGATTTTGATGATTCATACATCAATCGATTCGTCTCAATCATGGGAGTGCTACTAAAGATATGATAGTAATCAAAATTCAATATGGGCAAAAATAGGCGCCATATTGTGACGAAGAAAAATAAGTTGACAAAATATGTCGAGTGGGGTATCACTGTCTAGATAATCGAAAATTATTTTTAGGTTCCTAACACCATTTTTCATTTTAAATGATTGTTTAGGATCTACAACGCTTTAAAGTTGTATATTAACCAATTGCGCTTTTAATTTCAATCTTACGTTTGTATGTATCTTTGTTACTCTTTCACCTAAAAAATACTGAATGGATTTTAATGAAACTTAACAGTAATATAGCTCATATCTGATAATAACATGTTTATAATAATTTATGTAGTTATTGAATGAATTGGCCAAAATATAACAATAAGTGTCACATAAGACGGAAAAAAATCTCCCATCTGCGAGCCATTTTGGCCTGCACTGCAAAAACAATAAAGGTTACATGAATGTATTGTAGACTGAAAATGTATCTCTTAAATAGTTCTAAAAAAAAGCCCGTGACACCATACATCTATTTTTAATGTGTAAGCCATTACCGCTAAAATAGTGAATCAAAACTAAAATATTATTACAATCTGCACGTGATATAAACTTGTGCATCTTTACAAGGTACCTATGTATTTCTTACGCGCCCAGTGCAACACGAGAGACAAAAATAATAATTAAGTAAATAAAAAAAAATGGGTGCGTGTACTTATGTAGGCGCGTGAGAAGTTATCCTTCTTTGGCATCGTTTAAAATTAGTTTTTAATTGCATGCAAATAATTAATTACAATAAATTAATAAAAAGTCTGGAAAAGGACACAGTCAATAAAGTTCAGTTTTAATTTGAAAAAATAAATAAATAATCAAAATATTCAACTAAAATCGCTACTGAATATAATTTATTAAAACATATGTGATTTGCACTTGTATGAAACTCAAACACGTATTCCGAATATACAAACTAGAAACATGTGGATAAATATTATAAATATGAATACCTATAACTGTTACTTTATTACAATAATAACATAAAAGTAACATTGAAAAATAAAGATGTGGTTTTTGGTTCTACTACACCAATGGTCAAGAGATGGCGCTGTAGTCTCCTGAATCGCGCTTTGGTTCCGTTGTTCCAGATTAATAAATACTTTTGATAGGCCTTCACAATGCAGTCGTTAGCACCCACTAAATAGAGATTCTATTTCTATTTTGTTGGTAGATTTTCTTAATGTGCGGTAAACACAAAAGTAACAGCATGACCAACTTCATGCTGTTAAAATTTTGTGTTACAGTGATGCGCGCGCATCTTAAAATTTCACTCTCATCATTTTTTCATAACGCGCCTAAAGAAGTATAACTTCAAAAAATTGTATATTTAGAAAAAAAAAAACAAACATGATCATCGGTTTTAAACGCGCATGTCAGTGACTAACTTGTTGGCTCGGCGGGCGCTCGCAGCGGCAGTGTGGCGCGGGACCGCGACGGCTCGCGAACGCGTCCCGAAACGTTACTATAAAACGCGGGAACGAACGAACGAGAAAATACGAAACGCGAAATTCGAACATACGAATCTGTGCATCTTTTTTTTGAAAAAGGAATTCGCAATGAATGCTGCTTGAGTTGATTTTTTTTAATTTTTTTTTGGTTTTCTAAAAATTTCATGTGACGAAAATGTACTTGAGGGTAAAGTTGAAATGACTGTTCAGTGATGGCTAGTAAGAGTTTTGTCATGGCCTGGGCCTTGTGGCTGGCGTTGCCATTGGCAACTGGCCATTTGAACGTCCTCATCAGCAAGGCTGAAGTCATGAAGTTGCTAGGTAAGATTATGTGCACAACTTTTCACTGAAAATATTTTTGGTTCCGTTTTCAGGCCACAACTTTCAGAATACCGACAAAATATGTTATATTTTTAGTGGGATTTTCAGCAAAACCGACTCCTATATCTTTGTTACGAAACCTAAAGAAATTTAAATTCTCAAGGTTGCAATTGTCTTGGCAACGAAGACCGACGTGTTGATAAAACATACATTATTTAGGTACTTTCAGTATAAATCCACAGATTTTTATGAATATGACTGTGGAAGTGAAAAAAATACATGAAAGAACATAGTTTTTGTATTTGTTTTAAATATAAAGAATCCCTGAATAGGGTAAAACTGTACTTCCAGGGCCCAAAAGGTGATACTTGATTTTTTTTTTGTAGAAAAGGTCTTTTTTAACAGATTTTTTTTCTGTCGTTTAACAGATTGTGTTGTTACAACACTAACCTAACCTAACCTAGTGTGAAATATCACCATTTGGGCCCTGGAAGTACAGTTTATCCCTGAATAGCTTTGTTGTTTGAAAAATAACAACCTTAAGATAATAGCTCTAAAATGCTTATTTTATTTACAAGTTTATCTTTCAATTAATGTTCATGGCATGGGTACCCAGCAAACAATCAGATATCGTTTTCGAAAACTACAACAATTTAATCTTATATTTTCCTTATCTAATATATAAAATTCTCGTGTCGCGGTGTTTGTGGTTAAACTCCTCCGAAACGGCTTTCCCGATTCTCATGAAATTTTGTGTGCATATTGGGTAGGTCTGAGAATCGGACAACATCTATTTTTCATCCCCCTAAATGTTAAGGGTAATCCACCCCTAAATTTTTTTTTCAATTTTAGTTTTTTTTTTTTATGATACATCATACAAAAATACATACAACCCTAAATTTTCACCCTTCTACCACCAACCCCTATTTTTTATGGCGGTACGAAGTTCGCTGGGACAGCTAGTAAAATTATAAAAATACAAACTTTAGATGCATAAAAATGCGTTGTAGCGTTAAGTATCATCAAGTCTATAAAAAAAACAATATCTTTGTCAACGCTCATATATGAAATTACTCTACGATGGAAAAACGTTAATTAGACTATTTAATACATCGATTTTTAGGGTGCTAACGTTGCTTGGTATTCAGTAAAACTTTTGTTTGTCATAATGATGCTATAATTAAGGATAATTCTATACCAGAGAGGAAATAAAGACTTGCTGTTCCAATGTTTACATTTATTTTATTTATTTAGGATAACTAACAACTGTCCAATATTGTACGTAATGTAGTAACACTAATAAATACATTGACGTCATTACACAACCAACACCGTTATCCACTAAAAATATATCACAACACAGAGATTATATTATTATAAAACATGATAAGTTTGCAATATCTATTCTACTTGCAAATCGATGGTACAACTTAAAAAAAAAGTTATCAAACACAATTTTTAAATGTTTGGTAAACAATCAGCAATGCTCTTTTTATCTTCTATACTTATAATAAATCTGTAGAGATGTCAATTCTGTACATGAAATATATTTTCAAAATAGCTATCAGGGGGTGATTAGTGATCGATACTGATGCTAAAAATGCAATCAGTAAATTTTTTGTCTGTCTGTCTGTCTGTCTGTCTGTCTGTGTGTATGTTCCTTATAGAAACAAAAACTACTCGACGGATTTTAACGAAACTTGGTACAATTATTCTTCATAATCCTGGGCAGGTTATAGTATACTTTTCATCACGCTACAATCAATATGAGCAGAGCAGTGAAGGGAAATGTTGGGAAAACGGAAGAAGTTTTTAAGCTTCCGTCGCGTGTGCAGCCTTAATGGTTAAAGTTACATAGAAATCATGTATGACGGAAATATTCTACATAAAACTGTCCTAAAAATATCCCGCAACAGCATATGTCTATCTTTTATGGTTGACTCACAATAACACGTGTAACTCCTGATAGCTTAGCAGATCGGAGCATTCTGATTATATTTGATACGATTTTCAGTTTTTTTTTTTTATTATATGAAGAGTCATTTTAGTCTACACTACAGCTCAACACCGAAGCGAAGCGAGGGCGGGCCACTAGTATTGAATAAAAGACATTGTAAACAAGTCCAAATCGAAATCAGATAGGTTTTCATTAAAAAAGTTCATCATTCGACGTAGGGGTGCGCGTTCACCTGCATTCGTTCTGAACTGTTTGGGTAAAAATAGTTTATGAGCATAGGTATCTCTTATACGCTTTGAACTACTGGGAATTCGAATATAAATCTGTGTTATGAGGTCATTGCAGTTTAAATAATTACGACAGATTTTGAATAGGAAAAGACAATCAAGTAAAGAACGCCTAAAACTTAAGCAAGGTAAGGAGAACTTACTCAGCAGTTCACTATACGAAGACCTAGCACGGAAACATCTGTAATTAGCAGTACATTGACAAAATCATGAAATTAATTCTTGGGGAAATTTATCGGTTGTATTTTTTTATTTATTGTATTTATATTGAGTACACATGATAACAAAATTTTATATTTTGCGAAACTGAGAACAGTTTGTTGGCAAACACGACAAACACGACATATACAAACCAGCAGCAATACGACAGTGAAACAGACATTATACATATAAATATATATAAATAAAATAATTATTTCCAACACTCACACCAATTAGCCTAGCCCCAAAGTAAGCACTGTAAAGCTTGTGTTATGGGATGCTAGGGTAACGGATAGAATACATATACTATACATATATAAGTATATTTATATAGGAATACATATTTGAACATCCATGACTGGAGTACAAATGCTCGTATTCATCACACAAACATCTGCCCCCACAGGGATTCGAACCCGGGACCTCTCGAGTCGGCGATACCATGAAACCCGGCGTATAAATCACTCGGCCACGGAGGTCGTCATATGTATAATATATTTATATATATACACTATCACACATAGCATTCCGCATCACCGCAACAATATCTTATATAGTTTGCAGTAACATACTTTTCATTTTGGATTTTTTGAGGAGCTCGATGGCGCAAGTGGTTAGCGCGTTCGGCTGCGATCGTTGAAGTTAAGCAACTTTCCCAGTGGTCGGTCATTGGATGGGTGACCAAAAATTACTATCTTGAGCTCCTCCGTGCTTCGGAAGGCACGTTAAGCCGTTGGTACCGGCTGTATCTGCAGTCGTTAGCACCCACCAATCCGCACTGGGCCCGCGTGGTGGGTCATGGCCCAATCTCCCTATTACATCCATAAGGAAGGCCTGTGCCCCAGCAGTGGGGACATTAATAGGCTGATGATGATGATGATGATGACTTTTCATTTTAGATTTTAAAGTTGTTTTTGTAAACTTAGGTTCTTTTCTAAGCCACGCCATTTCATTGTACATAATCGGCACCAAGTATCCATTTAATCTTTTACCCTAACAGTTTTTATATCTTTGTATTTTTAATTTGCCCCCTCTGACACCTCTGGCACGGTGATAATATCATACAGTATTCTATCTTCATACAAACGGTCGGAAAGCGAGTCATACCTACGCCACTCGAGTTCGATGTGCACTCGGCGGGCACCCAGTCGCGAATGCGCCGCCGCGCCGCAACGACGACCGAACGGTCTGAATTGTTTTTTATGCAGTTAGCCGTGCTTAAACGTGCGTTTTGTATTGTAAATATTTGATTTATGGAAAAGAACAAACGACGATCAGTATCGTACAACAGCACAATTGCTGTTTTTGGTTGCTTGAACTCTTCAATAACACACCCAGAGATATCATTTTTAAATTACCTGAAATATTGTAAAGGTGTCTTACCTTTATATTATCTACTAGTACGTTATTTGTTTCTAATATTTAGGTATTTCGGTTTTTCCATCGGGCAAAATATCTGGAATAATATATAAATAAGTGGTTAGGATGAAAAAAGAGACAAACGAGTAATCTACCTACACTCGCGTTAAAAACAAAACTACATAAAATACTGTAGGCTGGCGGCCCTACCGCGTGCTCACGCAGCGCTCGGTGTAGGCATTTATTTTCAAGGACAGGGCGGAGTCACAATACTGTATAGATAATATTACCGTGCCTCTGGTGTTATACTTATTCGCAAGAGGGATTTTAAACCTGTCGTCATAATAAAAATCTACAGCTAATTGATATTTAATTGTCCTCTGCCATTACCGTTCTTCTTTTGCATAAATTAAAAACTTGCAATAAAATACACAAAATGAGCAAAGGATACTATCAAGTCTAATGCCACGTTTACACTTGGTCGCTAGCCCGAATACAAATGCCAATGGAATTCGGGTAAATGACTATGTGTAAATGAACGGGGTTGAGTACGCCCGTTTTCTGGTAGATTTCCCTTTGTTTATCCGACACCATCTTCCAGGTCATCATCATCATCAGCCTATTAATGTTCCCACTGCTGCGGCACAGGCCTTCCCTATGGATGGAATAGGGAGATTTGGCTATGACCTACCACGCCGGCCCATTGTGGATTGGAGGGTGTTAAACGACTGCAAATGCAGCCGGGACCAACGGCTTATCGTGCCTTCCGAAGTACGGAGGAGCTCGAGATAGTAAATTTTAGGTCACCCATCCAATGACCGACCACTGCGAAAGTTGCTTAACTACAACGATCGCAGCCGCACGCGCTAACCACTTGCGCCATCGAGCTCCTCAATGGCCTATATTACAGAAATTGAAATAAAGGCTTTTTGCCAGATAATTTATAGCTTTATCCTTGGTTGAAAATTAGCTTTAATATCATGATAATATTTTTTTATAATAATAACATTCAACCTATAATAATGTTTTATATTTTTTTCAAAGCATGTAACTGCTTGATTATTTCTTCTTTCAAATGTTTAATACTTGTAAAAGTATTCATTTGACATTGTGGGTTACCTACAATGCGAAGAGATGGCGCTGCCTTGCAGCTTAAGAATGGCTAGGAGAATTCCAACGCGGTCCGTGAGGGCCGT